GCTCCAGGACCTTCAGCGAAGAGACGAGTATCGATAAGCAGAAATGAAATTGTTTAAGAAGCTATTTTCAAGTAAGGACTGAAAGCTGACTCACTTGTGCTAGGCGTCGTGTGTGGTCAAGAACCAGTGGCCTGAGGTTCGAATGCACATCCTCGACACCCAATAGCATGTGCTGCACAAACAAGGCCAGAGAGTATATGCGACGCCAGCCATGTCTAAAGTAAAGAAAATGTATTCATTAACTGAACTGTAAATAATTATATCAGTGCAATACAATATAAAGCACTGGCTCTCTACCAGGGAAAGGGGGCTTTTACATGTATTTATAGGTAGTGATTAATAGGTCAGTCAACCTATAAAAATGAAAATTGTTGTAGATAATGGGGGAATTTGGAATCAAAAAGGTCGATAACCACTGATTTACAGTATCCAAAGAGGTATAAAGCCAATTCCAACACAAACAGACTGAAGAATGGCTTCTTTTCCAAAACTGTAGGTGCTATCATGTAGGAATGTAACACAACATACAAAGAACATGTACAAATAACGTTTCCCATAGGACAATATATTTTAGAGCTCATAGCTCACTGGATGTGAGTGACAATCCGGTTGCTTTTCTCTCCATAGTGGCGAAGGCTCTCCTCACAGCAGACCAGCTCAATTGGCACCTGTAGCTTTTTAACACGTCTAAGCCAGGCCAGACTTTGACCATCTTCATCTAGAGCCTGGGGCTCCAGGCATTCAATACAGGCCAATGCAGTGTACACATCTAACACCTGAGAAACAGAAAGACTGTCAAGAGAGAAGTAACCAAAGTAAAACATGCACATCCGATCCATGTAATACAAATTATGCAAGCACTTACCAGTTCTGTTCCTTCTCTGGCACATGTGTTATCTAGAAGCCTCTGAGCAATCTGAGGCTCTATACTGATCATCCTGTAGACGTTCTGTATTCGGTTCTTGAAGCGATGGTAGGCAGCATGAACCCACGGCAGAGAAATAACTTCACTCTCATGGATTTCCTGACTACCCTTAAGCTCATTTACACCACAAGTAAGGGCTCCACATAAGAGCTAAAAAATAAAAAACAGATATACAAACATATCAACACATAGACAAGTATATGTGCTTGGACGTGCAGATGATGTATAGAATTGTATCTCTGAAAGAGTCTGACTCTCACCTCGAGATTCACCACTGATGTTACTTTCATGGTCATGGAGATGAAATCCTGGAGATACCTGTGGAAAAATTCCATCTGCATCTCTTGGGTTGCTTCAGAGATGTACCCGCCCAAGGGGATCTTCCAAAAAAACTCTTCAAATTGATCTAGAGAGTGTCCTGTTGAAGAAATGCATGGACATTTATTGTTTGTTTTTCCTAGAACTGTCAAAAAAAACAGTAGAGGCCTGCACGGGCCTAAAATATAGGCCCTAGCCCAAGACGTTCAGGCCCTAAACCAACCCTTGACCAAGAACTTATCGGAATTCTTGGCCCGAGTCCGACTGGAGCCCGTGTATTTTTCTCTCTCTCTTCCGCAATATACAGCTGCTGTTGCAGCCATTACAATAGTTCAGTTTTGTTTTTAATGGCAAAGTGGTTATATTTATTTTAGTTTTTTTATTAAGTTAATTTAGAAATATGTTTGAAACATATTTATTTTGTTGGTAAATTCAAGTTTTTCTTTTTTAAAGTAACGACTGAGTGACCAGCGACAGGCAGTGAGTTGATCATATGTTTGATCAATTTAGCCTTCTCAACTGATCACGACTTAAAAAACACTTCAAGCTTATTTCAATGCTAGTTTAAACATTTAACCTAAATAAAAGTGCGCTATTAGGCACGTATGCAATCGTTTGTGTGGAGAGTGGAAGCTAAAGCGTGCTTTGCAGGACATGAAGGAGCCAGCGCGATCACTTGCATTTTTTCTTATTAACAGTGGAAAAAACTTAAAATATGCCGTCATTTTTGCTCATAAAGAGAGTAATATGTCATTCGGAACTGTAAAGGGTCTACTTTTATTTGTGTGCACTCGCAAGATCAACAAAACGTGCTTTTGTAAAATTTGGCTTTCTGCCGTCTCTGTCTTGAGCAGGAGCACGCTTCACAATGATGAACTGAAACTCAGCGAATACTTGCCTCACAGACATGATAAATATATTAATAGAAAGCTTTAAATTACTACTTCAAAACAAAATAATTCACATCTAAAAAACTCTTTCATTATGTAATCTGTAAAGATGCATTTCTCTCTAAAGGCACGTCCAATGAGGAGATGGCGAGTCAGCATCGTCAACTTTTTTCTAATTACTTTTGTTGGGGCTTTGTGGCAAGCTTTAGCCTACTGCATGCGTTTGAACACGAAACTCTTCCAGCTGCATTGACGGCACGCTCGCTGCCGCTGCTGCTGGTGGGGAAACACCGTCCGAGCCGGTTTTGACAGTCGCGGTAGCACGGTCTCGTGTTGTTTCCACCAGCGCGACAAATCTTTTTCATCACCATAATTGATGGATGTCTAAAATATAAAAATGAGTAGAAGCCTAAAACAGGCCCAATGCCCAGCCCTAGGGGCATAAATAAGTCGGGTCCGTCTGCTCTAAAAAGCAGCAATAACTGTCACAAGTCACAAGAGAACAAAGCACACTGATTTAAGTGTGATTGCTGAAACAACAACAACAAACAGCAACGATAGCAGTTAAGTAAATATACCTTCTTGCTGAAAAGCATGTACCCAGAGTTCCTCTAGATGATCTTTAATTCTCCAGCTGAAAGGCATGGTGCAACCCACATTGCTGTCAACTGCAATGTAGTTTTGAACCAAGATTGTCTTCTCTGAGCTGTTAAAGACCAAATGTTTTGTTTTTAGTTACAACGACATTACTTTAAAGTCAAGAAATGTATGCAGATTTGCATTGCATTGTGAACTGCTACACATTGTGGAATGATCAAAAATCAAGCTTGTAGCTAGAAGCATTAATGTGTTTTGGGCCCAAAGGCTTGCACAGTTCATCTTGAAATCAAATAATTACACACTTGTTGTCTAGGCTTGTGTAAGGAACATTCAGTAACTTGACATCTCCAAAAATTTCCAGCCACAATTTCCTCAAGGATTCATCAGCGTTTCTATCCAGCAAGAGGTCTAGATTGCAGTCACGGTCAATAATTGAAACAAGCTGTGCCAAAAATGGAGTTACTACTGCTTGAACTCGTCTCCAAAGAGCATGTCTAAAATACAGAAATGAACAAGTAGAGTGGTTTTAAGTATAGTGTATAGTTTCACAAAGATACAATTCAAGACCTTTATGCACATTACAGCTTCTCTCATACACTTACCTAAAAGTCCCCCCCTCTTGCAATGCATCAATATTTAGTGCTTCCTTGGAGACCCAACTCTTGCCAGAGATTGTGTTTTGATCGTGAGCCATCAATAGAGAATGAAGCCGTTTCTTTAAAGCTTTGATAAATTCAGCTGGGGAACATAAATATGTAAATTTCAGTGACCACATGTAAGTTGGCAAATCAAGACTATAAAAAAACTAACAGAAAGAGTGATAAGTCTCACCTTGTAGACTCTCATTGTCATCCAAGAGCATTAGAAGAATCTCTACTCTCTTGGTGCTGCGGGTACCTGCCTCTGTCTGATCTCTTAGCATGCCAACTGCACTCTGAACACAGCTACGAACCAACACGTTGGTGTCTAAAACATTCTCCCAGCCCTATAGAGCATCAGAAACAAAATTATATTCTGAAGCTTATTACTATAACTCAACAGGGTGACAACAGTATCAAAAATATACTTAAAATATATTGCGTTTGTTGAGGTTGCGACCCACAGTATTGTCTTCGAGTTCCATCTTCTCTTCTTCTGTATGCATGTCTTCAACCTCCATAGCTGCAAACAACCAAATATTGAATTTGAAAACACTGATCACTCCTTTAAAGACAACTCTCAATATTCTGAAAATAAATCAACATCACCTTCAGGCTCATCTGTTTTCTCTGATTTATCTTCAAACAACTGGCTGATGGTCAGACACTGCAAGGCTTTTATATCAGAGATAATGTCTTTCGATGTCCTCAGGTCATCAATGTGGACTGACCTCCAAGGGCCTTAAAAGATGAATCTTTATTGAGATTTTGTCTAAAACAAACATAATGTTGGTCAGTGATGCAAATAATCAGTTGTCTTACCACCATGAAATCCAATATAGGAAGTTCCACCATCCATTCTGGGTAGCTTAGTGATGAAGTACACAAAAATCTTTCCATTGGACTCTGAATCCCTGAATTTGTTGATTTCATTGAGAGAAGAATATCTGGAAATATATAAAATAATGCTGATTTCATTGGATTTAACAAGTAAAGAAGTGAACAAGTAAATTGGGCCACGAAACACATTTAACTTACTTAGCAGATGCAATGAAATTTAAACTTTGGGTGCTTTCATTAAAATTGGTTTGGATGATAAGTATCTTATCTCCAGTGGTGTTTTCCAAATAATTCCTGTACACAGAAAATGTAATTAAATTAATAATAAATATGCTTTTGTTGTTGTAATATGATGTGATGTTTTGAGCACAATACCTGATTGTCTTGAGGAATGAGTTTTCCATGTCAAACTGCTGTAATGAGAGGAGCTCAATGTTTTGAACTATGTCCTGTAGCTGTTCAGTTTCTGTTGCGGTCAGAAGTCTTGAGAATGTAGTTACCTACAGGATAAAAAAAGATATCAAGAAACAACTTTGTGCACAACTTGCAAAGACATAAATGTTAAATACTCAATTTTTTAAATACAATATGTTTACCTCTGTGAAAAAGGCATGGCTAGGCCCTGCTTGCTGAATTTGAGAAAGGATGAAGTCAGCAAGTGAGCTATGCTTCTGGTCTTCAAAGTACACCCTTGACAACTGCTCAGTTTCTACTTTGGGGAGTGAAGTGCAGTCTAGCCTAACCACTGCATCTGGTGTAGCACAGTTCAAAAGGATCAATTTAGCCTCATCTAAAATCCTCTTCGAATCATCTGAAATTTGCCCTTTGAGCTGCTCTGTAACTTGCAGGACAACAGAGGCACAGGTGTCAGAGTGGTAGCCAACGAAAGCATCAGCAGGACGGTAGCAGCATACTTGGGGAGCAATTGAGTGATTGCTTTTAGCTGCAATGAAGCATGCAACCCACTGCTTCAGCTTATCAGCAAGGTCCTTTTGCTCACTTTTTAGTATGGTATTGATGTCAAGATAATGTTTCTCCAACCTGTTGATCAATGGAATGGGAAACTGCTTGTATACAACATCCTTCTCCTCAATGACAATGAGTCTGAAATCTCTGTGCACTCTGCATTTGACTCTGTGAGTTCCAAGCCCCAAATCCACATATTTCTGACCTCCAAGCCAAACATAATATTGGTTAAGAGCATCATACAAACTTTCGTACAAGTTCTGCAGGTTCAGAAGCACAATGGTTTGTCCAGTTTCCATACAGATCTTCACACGGTTAATGTTGCGGCATATCTGAGTATACTCCTGGTCTTTTGGAAAGCTTGAACCAAAGATAATCTCTGGTTGGCACAGGTCTGAAAAAAACATATGCTGAAGAATTTGAAGGGCTGCATAGTTTTTGGTCAGAACCAGCAGGTATCTGCATTCCTCATCTTGACCAATGGCTGTGATGTTCTCTCTTACAAGCTCAATGGTACTGACATTCTCAAGTTTGGGTTTGATATTTAGTTTGCTGGTGAAAACTGCAACAGCATCCACATTATCCTTGCCACTGAAGTTCCTCAGCACAGCTCTCACAATCTGTTCTGCAGTAGGTTTCTGATCATTAGCTTTGGCAACAGTGAACATCATCTTTATCAAGCTGTAATAGTCTCTCAGGCCAAAAAAACCTTTTCCCTGTTTTTTACAGATGTTCAGGTAAGCACGGGCAAATGGCTGAAAGTAATCTCTCACCCTTTCAAGGATCATGGCATCCGAGGAACATATTCCTTTTGCACTCTCAATCAACTCCTTTTCATCAGGATCACCACGTGAAACAAATATCCCTCTATTCATTTTGGCTGGGTCCAAAGCCCAGTTCGAGATACCGATGAATCCCACCTTCTTGTGTGGTACCGGCTGATCATCTATGCATCCCTCTTCCAGCAAAGGATGTAAAGTTTTCAGAGGCATTTTCTGGGAATCCTCAGCCAAGCCTATCTCATCTAGAACTACCACTGAGACATACTCTGATAGATTCTTGCCTTCCTGAAAACGGGCACATTGCTTGAATGTATTGATAATCCCATCTGGTGTAGAATGAGGACTGCACTGGAAGGAAACTAGATGAATTTGCTTCAGTTTTCTAAACAGATCAGAATGGGCTGCTTGGCCTTGCATGCCATCTGCAACCAGAGTTTTAGACAAGGACTTGGAGCTTCCAGGTTTTCCAACCAAAAAGAGAGGTATTCGTAATTCAATGCAAATCACCATCATGAAGACATTTTCCTTCAAGGCATTGTTTCGGGCAATGGTTTCACCCAACGGAACACCACTCAAAAAAAGACCCTGAATAACGGAGATCTCTTGCATCACTTTCATTGGGCTGTAAGTCTTTGGAAGGTACCCGCAAATTTTTTTTCTGTATTTCTCTTTATCCTCCAAGCAGGCATGGTAACATACACCAACAGCCATAATTAACGACCAAAGAATTGGGTTTCTTTCATCAATATCCCTCTGATGTTGACAGTTTCTCTCTGCTCTCTGATTACTTTCAAACTGGGCAAGCTCTGAGAGTAACATTGGGAGGTTTTTGTAGAACCAGCCTAAAACTTGCATGCAGCGCTCCACATCCCTAAGGCTCACAAAACTACATTCATCCTGTCTTGTTCGCATATACTTCTGTGAGGCTGACAGAACATTTGTAATGGTTGTGATGTAGTCTGAATCAATGGAATGGGTTTCAGCTACCCTTTCGACTATTTGCTTGATGTACATTTTTTCAGTATGGTCATTGAGCTGTCCAAAGTCCCAAACTAGTGGAATCATACTAGGTGGTAAGGCCTGCACTCTGTACACTAGCTGGCGAAGTGGAATGGATCCAAGTTTTTGATCTGTTTCCTCAGCACGAACTCTGTATCCCAAACCAGCTGACTCCAATCTCTTGATCATTATGTCTGTGTGTTTTCTGTATGGGTTGCAAGCGGCAATGATTTGCAAGCCAGTGTCATCTGTCAAATTCTGTCCCATAGCAGTGTTGTCACAGAGGACTTCCTTAATGCTGCTAATGGCCTCCGTTGTGTTTGCTTCATCAAAAAACAAAACAGAGTCTAATCCAGAGTTCTGCTTGTTTCTTAACGCCATGTCCTCTGCTTCTCTCACTTTGGTGTAAATCATGTCTGAACTTGTCCCCCCATGAACCTTGACTAATTTTATATTGTCAGTGGCAATTCCACCTCTATGCACCTCACAAAGGAATTTGATTAGTCTGGTCTTCCCACATCCGGTCTCACCCATGATTATAACGGGAATCCCGCAGCGAAAGCGCATGCGAATTGCCAGAATTTTCAACATGTTGTCTGTGGTAAGCTCATATGTTTCATCTGGGTCAGTGGGAGACTGTATTCCCAACACTCTGGAAAGTCTCTCAATTTTCTCATGTCGTGGAAGCTGGTCAAAATCAATATTAAAAGGAACTCTCTGTAGTTTGAGGCCCTCATAGAGCTCTCTGGTCATGATGTTCTGCTTGATCACTCTTTTTGTTAATGGATCAATAGCATCAATCCTTTTCTGTGCATTTGGCTGAAGATGAAAGCCAATGAATGTCATGGACTCATGGTCATCATTGAAGAAAATATATGGATGTGGTTCTGACTCCCATCGTTTTCTTATCCTAAAGGGAGCCAGATCCTCTTCATTGGCTGAAGAAAGGTCATTTTGTGGTCTTCCTGGACTCTGGTCAGAGATGCTAAGTGAAGGAGTGGCAAAATCCTTTGCCATGAGAATCATGAAATCAACAACAAATTTTTTAAATCCCAACAAAATGTCACCTATAACAGAAACATCGCAGAAAACGGAGTTCTCACAATCCCTAAGTTGTAAGTTTAGGAACCAAGCAAAATTCTGCAACTCTGCCCAAGACGGGTCTACGATGCCGCAGTACACAAACAACATCTGAAGGCATTCAACATGAGTGCCCTCAACTCCTTGGTACCTGAAGGTATCCAAATTAATACCATTGTAGAAACGTTGCAGGTACTGATAGGGCCGCTGGTAGGCCTCACTTTGGAACTCTTGGTCATCCATGAGGGGATCATCACCCTCTACTAATGACGGATCTTCCTGGATTCTCATTTCTAGCTCAAGGACCTCTTTAGGTGGACGGCAGTAAACACTTTGAAACACATCCATGAAAGCACCCTATCATAAAAAGGCAAATAGATTCATCAAGGAATTTGCATGCAAAAAAATCCTACATGATTTAATTAAGTAATTTATATTTACTTACAGTTTTTCTGTCACGTTGTGATGTGCTGCAATCTGGTCTTAGTATCTCAATTACATACAGGTGCTCATTATTCCTTTTCCACATATTTCCTTCCGAGTCTATGAGGTAACCAAGAATCAATAGCCTAAACAGAAATTCATGAAGTCCTGTCTTCACCTGTAAGTACAGAAACAATAATGAAAAACAGCCACAAAATGTCATTCCATTTGTTCATCACATTGATCAAAAACAGTAAATACAGGTAGCTACCATGGTGGTGATGTCAAAATGATAAACTGAAAGTTCCCGTTTCTTGAAGTTGTTGAGCAAGGACTTAAGGATGATATTTTCATCAACTCTCGGCTCAGTTAACCTGATGCACTTCAGCTGTGTAGGCTTATCGGTGATCGTTTTTAATTTCTCATGCATTCGTTTAACGTAAAGTGATTTCCCTAGAACACACAACAGAGATTTAGCTTATTTGCCAAATTGCAGTGCAAAAATATTCATACACACAGAAAACAAAGTTTTCATGCATTTATTTATTTTTATTTTATTTTATTTGGTCAACTAATAAGAATTCTGAATCTGAAAACTAACTAAAATCCATTGTATTGAATTTATACTCACCGACTCCTGACCTTTCAGAGAATACAACTCCCACAAACTGTCTGTCTTTGAACACAGCAGCAGCACTGGATATGTCAGCTGGGACTGTAAAATGCCTAACAAGGTATTGCTGAATATTGATCATAGGTTCTTGGGGAACCAAGTGCAATCTAAACTGACTAAAAGCAGAGGGAAGGTATGCATGTTCCTTATTAGAGCTGCAGACCAACACCAGTCTGTAATCATTTCTGCTTTGTGCATTTTGCTGGTGAAAAAACTGCTCCACTTTGTAGCTCACTTCATAGGTAAGTTGGTCCACATAGAGCATTGTGTATATTTTCTTTCCCCTATAGCCATCAGAGAGACAACGCCTGAGGAAAAGCTCCACTTCTTCATATGGAGTGGAAGCGCTACAGAGAAGTACTTCATCATAGGTTGGTAGAGGCTCTTTTCTGCTTCTCATGTACATTGAAATACATGTTATTAGAATTTCTTCAGAAGGGCAGATTATCAGATTTGGTTTTCCAGTAGCCATTCCATTTGGCAGTTCTCTCTGAATATTACTTGTTTTCTCATCCTGTTTGGAATCACTCTCATATTGACTGGGGCTGTTGGCTAACATTTCAAGAAGATATCCAAGGCTTCTGACGTCAAGGCAGTCTGGCAGGAAGTTGTTCATGTCTCGCATGTAAGCATTCCAAATCACATCTAGCTTTTCTGACCCATTAGCATGCCTCAGCTGACTTGCCAAGTTGTCAAACAATGCACATGGCTCATCAGTATTCAAATCATGTTTAATCATGCTGGGAACTTCTGCGAACGTTTGAAATTCTAAGTCATCATTTTGCCTAAGGTCCTTCTTAATTACTTCATACTGAAGCCTGTGCCAAGCTTGTGTCACATCTGAAAAGGACCAATTAGGTTTGATAAAGGAGAGCATCATAAGAACTTGATCTTTCAATTCAGTGTCGTTTTTCTGGGTGAGCTGGCTGCACAGGTAGACCACCTGTTCTGACGTAAAATAGTTTAAGTAATAATGCTGAGATCTCTGCTTATCCATAAAAGCCTTCCAGAAGCATAAACAGCTCTCCATTTTCCGGCAGACTTCCGGCAACTGTTCTGTGACATCACCTTCAATCATGACACTAACAACACTTCCTAAATCGAGGTCCATAATAATGCATTCTTCTTTACTATTACAGTTGACCTTTGCCTTCCAGTGTCTGAACAATGGATTTCCAGCAACAAACAAATCAATAAACGCACAGGCCAACCTCTGTACACTAGCAAAGACCTGGAAACAGGAAAGAAGTTCAGGTACAATTACAACAACCATGGTGAAAGACAGCGGAATAAAAAAGATAAAAGTTGTAAAGTCACCTCTGCAAATCGATTGACTTCACGCTGGCCCTGATCTCCTTTGCCCGACATTAGCATTAATTTATTCTGAAGTTCCCTGAGGTCTTCAAAAGAATAAATGCGTGTCTCACAGCCCTCATCGTGCTCTTCCATAATATGTAACTTCAGAATATCTTCCAAGCACAACTGAAAAAAAAGCAATAATCAAGGGTTGATATTTCCAAAGTATTATCTGCATCAAATATAGTATTTTAACAGAATTGACAGAACTAAAAATACGCATTGTACTAATCTATTATTGTTTTATGTATAAGCATTATTTATATAATTGAATCATATGCTATATTATCATAACATAAAGGTGGTTTACTTTGCATCAGAGAATTAAAAGTGGTAGCCAGTTCAATACATGGATTTACAAAATATTTGTATGCTTAAATATGTTACAATTAAATTTACATTTAATAATTTGCTAATAAAATAGCATGTATTTCAACATGTTATGCAGTCCTTCGTTATTCAATATCTGATATTTTATGTAGCTGAAATATGCTATTAGAGGTTTACTATTAAAACTAAAATAAGTATTAACAATAAATCTGTACTGATACTTTGTTACACTGGGTGATCTTCCTCTTGTTTATTAATTATAACATAATACAAGTCAATAAACGCATAGTTAATTCCAAGCGCACTGTCTCTTTTTTTTCTAGGGCATGAGCAATGACCCATTCGCAAATGAATCACTCTTTTGAGTTGATTTAGTTCAAAGACTTGATCAAACAAGTTGACAAATTAGTCTGACTGAGAAGAGTGTAATATTCAAGTGATAACAGAGCTTCAACCGGAATGTAGTTTTAAGAGTTTTTTAGGCGATAATGTAATGTCTCCTCTTGGCTTATATTGAAATCCTCCGACATTTTTTTTTTTTACAAATCCTCGTTTTGCACTTCTAATTCATGACCGGTGTTTTGTTTTGCTCTGTCCTCTGCGTTTCCGTGTTCGTCACTTCTCACCGGTGCATTCATGACGCATACGTCCTATGTCATCTGCCCGGAACGGCTTTCACGCACAACAGTTAGCCGAAGTTAGAGAAAAGTGTTTATAATGTTTTAAATATAGACATTTTTCATATAAAAATGCATTTATTCGCTACAGGACACCTTTATTTACCCCCCGGAGCCGTGTGAGGCACTTTTTTATTATGGATGGATGCGCTTTATTGGACTTCTTTTGGACTGTTGAACAAAAAACCCACTGCCATTATAAAGCTTGGAAGAGCCAGGACATTTGTTTATATAACTCCAACTGTATTCAGGGTTCTTACACCTTTTCCAAAGTAAAATTCAAGCACTTTCAAGGTGCATTTTCAAGCTTTTCCAGCACTTTACAACTGTGGAAAAATACATGTTTCCATACATACTTCACGTTCTTCACTTTAAATCAGATGTTATTGTTCTATTAAAAACCACCTGTCTGGATTGCATTGCCTAATATAAATATCCAACATACAGGATATAAATTACAAAATTTAATAAAAGAAAGAATTTACAGGGTATCTGCAGGATTTAAAAAAATAAAATGTAAGGCTTTTTAAGACCTGCACAAATAAATTGAATATTATATGAGTGGGGTAGGGCAATGTCTATGATGGTAATATATTAATGACTGGTACCATAAAATGACAGTAAAAAACATGATTTGCAGTTCAAAAACAGTTTTTTCATTAGTAATAAACCTCACATTTTAGCCTTTAAACTATTTTTTAAGAAAAGGGATTAGTCAAAAGTATAAATGATTATCTTAAATTAAAACACACACATCTTGCTTTGTTAATCGCTTGGATTATTGAAGGCACCTTTTATTTGTTCTGAACAAAAATAGCAAATTGCCAGCAGGTGGCGCATTTGGAACGGAACAACAACTGTTTGCCTGGTAACGACTGTACAAAAAGCAGAACTGTGCTCGTTAACGCTACATTATCAGACATTACACATAGGCAAGATGAAATGAAAATGTCATCAAAACTTCTGAGGGCAGGCTGTTCCCTTCAGAGATAATTTCATATCAAAAAAACCTGCGCCACGTTTTGACTTTGTTTTGTTTGTTTATTCAATGAAATCATACCCTTATGAAGTTAATCGTTACATTAAGCCATATCTGTCATGACTTCAGTCTGGTCGGCAGGTTGTTGGTCTTGTCTTGTCTGTGTTTGTGGTTGTTGTCGGGAGCACGTGGGTTTTGTTTTGACAGTTCGCCATGTGCTCGTTGCCACAGCGGTTCCCCTTCCCATCATTATCTTATTACTACGTTAGCTGCCGTCACACCTGTGACTAGTTAGTCCCTAATTTCTCCCTCTATTTTAATTCCCCTCATGTGTAGTCATGTGTCAGACCGTTGTTGTGTGTACATGCTATACTTCGCTCGTGACCTACTTTTGGTTTAGTCATGCTGTGTCCTGTTGTGTTTTTCTTAGGTTCCAAGTGCAGTTTAATCCCTGCTGTTTTGACTTCCTTTCTTGCCTCTCATTTCTCCAGATCTCTGTTCCTCAGTTCCTGCCCTGGTGTTACCTGAGCCGTGTATTAGGCTTCTGTACCCCGGCCCTTCTCTGCGTGCTCAACAGGGAACTCCCCACTCTGACGTTGCATCAGCACTGATGCTGGGATTCTGTGCGCTGATCTCTCCACGCCTTTCCCTCTCTGCCTTGTGGAGTCTCTGGATGCTCGTTTGGACTGCCCCCCTCTTCCTGTCTACATCCTCCACCCTGGATTACGGCTCCTGGCCTTCTGCCCTAGCCGTGTTTGAGACTTTAATAAACTTTTGAGTTGAACCTGCAATTGAATCTGTGTTTTTCCCTGACAGACCGGTCTGACCAGAAATGGATTCAGCAGGAGCAGAACAAGTCAGAACCACTGTGACACAACAGGGCATTCTCCTTGGCCAGCATTCCACCCAGTTAACAGTCACCTCAAGGGAAGTTGACCTCCTGGTAGCCCAGGTAGCCGAACTCAATATCAGGGTGCAGGAACTCCAGCAGGAGGCCCTGGCCAGCCGATCTGCTGCCTCTCTCGTCCGTTCTCTACCTCAGGCTGAGCCAGAAACCCACGCCAACAGTCCTCCAACCTACATCGGAGATCCTAATTCGTGCCGGGCCTTCCTGTCCGAGTACTCCATGGTCTTCACAACTCCAGCCCCACCGTTACATCACGGAGGAGTCTCAGGTGGCATTCGTGATCACCCTCCTGAAAGGGAGGGCCCGTGATTGGGCCCCATTCTGTGCCACGTTTGAGGATTTCCGAGCCAAAATGATTAAGCTGTTTGACCGGTCTGCTCAGGGTGACGAGGCAGCCTCTCAGCTGGCGCGGTTGAATCAGGGTGGTCGCCCAATCACTGACTATTCCATCCAGTTTAGAAGCCTGGTGGCCACCCGCGTGCCTGGAATGAAGCTGCCTTGCATGCGAGGTTTCGGGAGGGGCTAGACGATGAGATTCAAGATGAAATTGTCACTCACGATCTGCCTCGTGATTTTGACTCGTGCCATCGACCTCCACCCAGGCACTTCTCCACCTAAAGGGCATCTGTACTCCCTGTCTGGTCCTGAAAGAGAGGCCATTAACAAGTATATTAAGGAATCCTTAAATGCCGGCCTCATCAGTCCCTCTTCCTCACCTGCTGGAGCTGGGTTCTTCTTCGTGAAGAAGAATGGCTCCCTTCGACCTTGCATTGATTATCGGGGTCTTAATGACATCACCATAAGAAACAGGTATCCTCTGCCTCTGATGTCATCTGCTTTTGAATTGTTACAGGAAGCCAAGGTCTTCACTAAATTAGACCTCCGTAATGCCTACCATTTGGTCCATATTCGTGAGGGGGATGAGTGGAAGACAACCTTCAATACCCCTACGGGACACTTTGAATACAGGGTCTTACCCTTTGGGCTTACTAATGCCCCAGCTGTCTTCCAGGCCCTGATCAATGATGTGTACATGGTAAACAGATTTGTCTTTGTGTACCTCAATGATATCCTCATCTTCTCTTCCTCCTTGCAGGTAAACACTCAACATGTTAGTCAGGTGCTACAACGGCTGCTGGAGAACCAGCTTTGTCAAGGCGGAGAAGTGTTTTCCACGCCAAATCAGTTTCGTTCTTGGGGCATATCATTTCAGCGGAGGGGATCAAAGCTGATCCTGCTCAGGTAAGAGCCAAAGCCGAGTGGCCATGGTCCCGAGGGGATGTTCCGGAGGGTCGGTTGTTTGTCCAGGCTGCGCTGCGTCCTGAGATTCTCCGGTGGGGTCACAAATCCTGGGTAACCTGTCATCCAGGGGTTCGGAGATCGCTGGCCGCCATCCGTCAGCGATTTTGGTGGCCATCCATGGCCCAGGACGTCAGGCAGTTTGTGTTGGCTTGCTCGGTGAGTGCTCAGAATAAGACTTCTAACCAGTCTCCTGTTGGTCTGTTGCAGCCTTTGCCCATTCCCTCTCATCCTTGGTCACACCTGGCCCTTGATTTTGTCTCTGGCCTTCCCCCATCGAGAGGCAACACTGTGATCCTGACGTGGTGGATCACTTCTCCAAAACAGCCCATTTTATTCCCTTGCCCAAACTCCCCTCTGCCAAGGAGACGTGGTGGACCACGTCTTCCGGATTCATGGTCTTCCGGTGGATGTGGTCTCCGACAGAGAACCACAATTTGTTTCCCGGTTTTGGAAAGAGTTCTGTAGACAGATCGGGGCCTCAACGAGTCTGTCTTCTGGTTTTCACCCTCAGACCAATGGGCAATCCGAGAGAGCCAACAAGGATCTCGAGAGAGCTCTCCGCTGCCTGGCATCACATAGTCCGAACTCCTGGAGTCAGCAGCTACCGTGGGTCGAATATTTCCACAATTCCCTTCCTGTAGCATCCACAGGTATGTCTCCCTTTCACTGTTCCATGGATTATCAACCACCTCTTTTCCCTGCTCAGGAACCCGAAGCTGCGGTCCCGTCTGCCTTGGTCTTCGTCCGTCAGTGCCGTCACACCTGGAGGAGGGCTAAGGAGGTCTTGGCCCGGACTTCCAGACGGACCAAAGCAGCGGCTGATCGTCACAGGACTCCTGCTCCTCAGTACGTGTGTGGTCAGAAGGTATGGCTTTCCACCAAGGACCTGCCTCTCCGGGTGCCTTCTCGTAAGCTGGCACCCAGGTTCATTGGGCCATATCGCATCACAAAGGTTCTGAATCCGGTGGCAGTGCAGCTCAAGCTTCCTCACATGCTTGGTCGGGTTCACCCTGTTTTTCATGTGTCCAGGGTTGAGCCTGTGTTTCAGTCCCCTCTTAGTCCTGTTGGTTCTTCCGTCTGCGACGAGGTGAGCCCCTCCTGGGTGCGCCAGGTGGCGTTCCTGGGAGGGGAGGTACTGTCATGACTTCGGTCTGATCGGCAGGTTGTTGGTCTTGTCTTGTCTTGTTTTGACAGTTCGCCATGTGCTCGTTGCCTCAGCGGTTCCCCTTCCCATCATTATCTTATTACTAGGTTAGCTGCGGTCACACCTGTGACTAGTTAGTCCCTAATTTCTCCCTCTATTTTAGTTCCCCTCATGTGTGGTCTTGTGTCAGACCGTTGTTGTGTGTACACGCTACACTTCGCTCGTGACCTACTTTTGGTTTAGTCGTGCTGTGTCCTGTTGTGTTTTTTGTGTCCCTCAACAGGGAACTCCCCACTCTGACGTTGCGTCAGCACTGACGCTGGGACTCTGTGCGCTGATCTCTCCACGCCTTTCCCTCTCTGCCTTGTGGAGTGTCTGGATGCTCGTTTGGACTGCCCCCTCTTCCTGTCTACATCCTCCACCCTGGATTACGGCACCTGGCCTTCTGCCCTAGCCGTGTTTTGTGTTTGAGACTTTAATAAACTTTTGAGTTGAACCTGCAATTGAATCCGTGTTTTCCCCTGACAATATCATGATTCTTGTCTTTCCGTCCTCAAATTTTAGACCTCTTGAAATTATAATAGAAGTCTTTTCTTGTACCGTTTAAGGCATTTAAGTTTTTAAGTTGATGTGACAATGACAATTAATGTCGATTACGTTTTTGTGTGGGGGGAAACGACATGTCATATTCATGACTTTCTTCACATGGGTTATTTTAGTAGAAGGCTATGAAAAACAAAATGGTTATTCAATTTGCGATTAAAACATACAGAAAACGAGCAACAAACGTTTCAATCTAGCACAAGCTCACTGTCTAAACCGCAAAATGAATTTCTTGTTTACATAGTATCTGCACGATGTAATGCATCATGTTGTTTATGATGACAGTATTTGAGAGAGTGCAGAATGCATTCAGTGAGCGCATGAACTGAACACAACTGTAGCATTTCACGGATTTTTCCTGGTGTGGTGAGTCTAATCTAAATGCCTCTGCATGGCCATTGCATACATGCACTCAACACAAACGTTGGTGATTTGTTATAACGCTGGGGGGAAAACGCACACAAATAAATCGTTGATGCATTGTGAGCATTTCTAAATGTATGCCGCAATAAATACCTTTAATTTATTTTCACATTTTACTTTATGTCTTAAAAGATTTAGTTTAACTGACCAGAAGCATTTTTGTTTACCTTTTATATGGCTCGAAAGCACAGACTCTTCCATGAAAATAACAGACTTTACAGGCTACTCAAGTATTTAGTTCTCGTTTTAACCATAATTTTTATTATCGTTTTCAAGCACTTTAACCAAAATCCAAGCACTTTTCAAACCTTGAAAACACTACATTAAAATTCAAGCATTTTCAAGGAATTCAAGCACCCATACAAACCCTATGTATTCTTCTGAAAGAAGAAAATCATAAACACCTAGGATGCCTTGAGGGCGAGTAAATCATGGGCTAATTTTCATTTTTGGGTGAACTACCCCTTTTAGCTTAACAAATAAGCTAGTCTAACATTGGCGAAAATTAGCATCATGCAAGGATGGAAATGCCACCAAAAATGAATAGAAATGCCCCCTAAATTAAATTTAAGATATGAATTTAATCTATATGAGTCTATTAATTTAATATTTTTAAATGCAGCATTGTTAATTTTGATTGTTTCACCAACAAAAATTATTTCAAACAAAGCAGAACACTAGAGTTCGAACAAATCAGTGAATAAATGATTCTGTTACACACTTAAGGCTTACCACCACTTACAGGTATTTCATTTTTTACAATATTTCATATTTCTATATTTAAAAAAAATTACATTTAAAACACTAATCTCATAACATTGTTTATAAAACTGTAATTGCAGTGTAAATACCTATCAGTAAATAAATATTTTAGTAGTAATAGTAAATAAATATAACTTTTGCACAGTTGCAACTGCAACTGGGGGTTAATTTCATTCATGCACAACACTGATTTTGCTCATTTACCAATTCCAGTATAATGCCAACAATGGACAGGCTAAACAGCCTAAAAGAAAGTGAGTTATCGTGATTAATAGCATCCAGAATAAAAGTTTGTTTATACACAATACACACATATATATATAAACAAACGTTTATTCTGGATGCTATTAATCACGATGAATCGATTTGACAGCACAAAAAAAATGTCATGAGTATTTCAAAATTTCATTGTGCGTCATCAGTGTAAGTAATGTAGTAATTACAAACCTTTTGATTTTGTGCACTAATAATGTAGATGCCGTTCATGTTGATAGCTGATGCCAGAGACAGAGATGAGGTCTCCACTGACCCATGACTATCCTTGACTGTCTTCAACCATTCTAAGTGTCTTGCAGAGTCACTCTGAAATCAGAGAAAATGTTGATGAACAATAATGTGAGAAATCCTGCTTTCTTTTTCAGATTTTTAAAGCTAGCAGATTCTCTCACCAGTTTCTTTGGGAGGTTGCGGTCATTGTCAAGCGCCTTCCATAGATTCTTCAGCGTCTCTTTAAAAAGCATGAAGTCAGCATCTGGCTTCAAATCATAGAGCATTGAGGAGTAGCCAAGGACTGCATCATGAAAACAGGCCACACGATCCACTTCCATATCATTCTCTCCGGCAGAGATGGAAGCCAAATCCACAAATACTTTCAACTCATTGATGTCTGAAGCGATAAAAAGGAATAACATTTGCTTACAAAAGAGCATAAAAATGATACAATCGCATTCAATATGAATACCAGTTCAAACACACATTTACTTACCTTGAAGCACCTCTTTTACCCACGTGACAAAATTCTTTCTGCGGCTGAGCTCCTGAAGGCACAGTCTGCGGGATTCTGTGATTTCCACAAGCACAATTTTTGCCTGCACCAACTCATCATCAATGCTGTCAAGACGCTCCTTTTTAAAATCCACGTGTCTCTGAAAGAAAGACAGCCTTGTGGGTTAAGCATGTTCCTTATTTATCTATGATAAAAATGTACTTATGATGGCAAAATATGATGACTTACAGTATTAAGCAACTTCTCCAAGACTTGAAAGTCTCCTTGTAGGCAAAGCGTCTCTTTGACCATCATGACCACCTCAGCTGACTGTATTGCCAGATAAAGCTCATGGTACTGCTCAATCTGAGGGACTCTTGTCTGGACCCAACGTCGGTCATCACTGTGATCCAGTCTGCATATGATTGCAACTTCTGCTCCCAGTTCTTTATATTTTCCCTTGTAGTCTCTGAATGTCACATCAATATTTTCAAACGTGATGCTGCCATCTTTAAGCCCTGTGTATATGTTTTTGTAGGCATTGTAGCATGGTGTAAATATGTCACTGTGAAGCTTTTTCGGTGTGATAACCGCATCGCCTTCTGAAGAAACTGCTCCATAATCTTGAGCAAACTTTGTTGCCTCATTCCTCCAACACATTCTGAAGATGTAGCTGTCTTTGAAGGTGTTTAGGACCTCTGCCATAGATCGAACATCATCTTCAAGCTCAAAGTAGTTGACTACTCTTATTGCAGAGGGAATCTGATTTAATAAATGGACATCCACAAACATGTCCAGGTCCATCTCATCAATGTCATTACGGCATTTGTCTTCCAACCCTTCAAAATCAACTGTACAATAGAAATGTAGTATTAAAATCTCTTTATAAAAGCAATCTTTTATTGTCAGGTGTTCAAACTAAAGCTTATACCCCTCGGATGCTTCTGTAGATTATGGCACACTGTAATGAGAGCATCCACCAGTGATTTCTCATGATATATAGCCTTCACCTCCTCTTGTCTACATTCAAGAAGGCTGTTCATGGCATTGGTGCCTCTGTATTGTTGATTGTCACAAAAACAATCTGGAAAAAATATTAAGATCATGACTCCTCAAATTACAGTATGTAAAAGGAAGACATTTTATATATAAAAGTATTTTACCTAAATTAAGCAAGTCAAAGAAAGCACTCTTGTTTTCCAGGATGTGGTTGAGTAGCTTAATTTTTATTTTCCCTGATACAAGTTGGTTTAAAATATTTGTGAATGATGATATTGCCATGGTAAATTTCTCTTTAGCTTCTTCAGAAAGCTGACTGGTCAGTTTTTCATCAGCACCTACAGAGTACAAAAAAGTGCATATGCTTAAACATTATATATACTTCTTTAAAACCCATTCGGTCTCAGAGTGATGAGATTTAACATAGGATTGCTTTGCACTACGCCGAGGGAATCCATATAATACCATGAAGCTGAAAGATATTCTTAGCTGCTGTCCAGCCCAGAAGATGCTTGAGAACCACTTGCTCATCCTTCAGATAGGTTCCTTTGTCATCTCTTGGCCAGGACTTCAGAATGACGGTGGATACAAGCGGTTTCAATTTCCAGTTTATGCGGAGTTTGTCGAATCTCTCAAAAAGTTGCCACTCAGATTTAGCCTGTTAAAAAAAATCTGTACAGTAAGTGTCTGCTTTCATGCTATCCATCTTATTAAAAGGCATAGAACTTTGGCAAAATAATGTGAAATCCATACAAACCATTGATTAATGTATTTCTCAAACACTGCAAACTCTACACCGTATCCATTTCCATCTCAATGGATTAATAATTTTGTAAATGGATAGAATGTGAAATATATTCATTAATTTTGATTAAATATAATAACTACAATAATATCATAAGAAATTATTCTATTATCTACTATTATATATTTGACTGTGTGTGAGAGGACGGTAGTGTGCTTAGAACCTAGTGAACTATTTAAAACTGATTGGAACATACTCTTATAAGGACCCTAAATACAGGGGCTAGAAATAAGGGCATGACATGTTCAGAGAATGTAATTGATTATCCTTCAGGAGCTCATATATGCTAAAGACTCCATGTCTAAAAATACAGAGGCAGAAAGAAAGACATGAATGGAATCCATTGAACAGTTTCAAGGCGTATACAGGTGCATCTCAATAAATTAGAATGTCGTGGAAAAGT